CAATTGTGGATTATATACTATGGTATCATTTGACATTGCACTACTAGACTTAAACACTTAAACTTAACAATAATGCTATGCAACAGCCATGGGGGAAGGAAAGTGAAGCAGTAAAAAGAGAGGTGAAGACAAATACAGCCAATCGATTGCATCACAGAAACAACAGCCAGATGAGAGAGAGAGAGGGAGAGAGGGAAGAAGAGGAAGCGTGGCGTGGTGGTGGAGTTGCAGAATGCAGAATTGCAGCAGCAAAAGCCCCAGCCAGCACAGCACTCTCTCTTCCTTCAGAAATTTCAGACCCACCACCACAAACATACACAACAGACATCTCCCCAACCAAATTATAAGAAAACAAAACACAAATATATAAGGGTAAATATGCCACACACTTGGTTACCCAGACTTTGAGATTACTAAATCGTGTCATGTTTAGTTACTAGCAAAATTTAAAATAAATTTTGGTCACTCGAATTACCGAAACATGTCACATTTTGGTCACTTCTCCTGTAGCATCTGTCCAACTCTGATCACTCGAATTATTGAAACATGTCACATTTAGTCACTCGAATTATTGAAACATGTCATATTTAGTCACTCGAATTACTGAAACATGTCACATTTAGTCACTCTCCCGTTAGTTTCCTTCCAACTTCATTAGTAACGAAACTAACGGAAGAGTTACTAAATGTGACCAGTTTCAGTGATTCGAGCGAACAAAATTGATATTAAATTTTTCTAGTGACTAAATATGACACAATTTAGTAATCTCAATGACCAAATGTGGCATCTACCCCAAATATAAACACCCACATTATGCCTTTGCACTTAACATTAACTCATTAAGCAAGCCCTAGTTCTGTTCAAGTACCCCCCAACTAGTGTTTTTACAAAACCATACCCGCGGCCGGCCAAGAAAAATGTTTATCGAAAGTCTTAAGCCAATAGACAGTTTAAACAATATAAAATGGTTGAAACATGATTAAATCACGACTTTATACAATACCGATGTTTAGCCAAATGAATGAGACAGATGAATTATGGACTGTGTGTGCTCATTGTACTAATTCAATTCAAAAAAAATTGAAAGGAGAAACTTTTTTTTTGTGTTTTTATTTTATTTTTTTAAACTAGGAAAAGGTGAATAAGACCCATCTGTGTAGTCTGTACATAAATTACCAATTAAAACAAACACAGCCTTACAGATGGAGATTTTAGGGTGAATATATTATATCCCTCCCCTACACTAAACGACACCAACTGCTTCTTCTTCTTTTACCACTGTGGAGGTTCTGATGTGTTTTCTTTCCCCTTTCTCTGTTTCAGGCCCATGGCTGGTCATCGTGGTGGGCCAGCCCACATGCAACTTCTTTTCTTTTCACTTATATTTCTTAACCTCTGTTAAAATATTACCACTTTTGGGCCTTCAGTTATTTTCCTGCACTGATTAATTTCCCTTATTACTTTAACTTGTAAGCAAGTAAATAATGACAGATTCTTTATTTGTTGTCATAAGAGAAGTGTCTTTCCTCTAATTGGAAGGGGAATCTTAGTTTAGATTCTTTTAATATGGTAAACCTTTTTAGTGTGTGTACTTAGGTTAGGTATTGACTTAGTTTTTTTTTTGTGGGTTCACTATTAGTAAATTAATTAAGTTGAAAAAGGTAAGGTTTAGATTTTTGTCCACATATAGAGTTGGGGGAGAAGGGTCCAAATAGATTTAGTGCGTACGAGAATGATGATTATTGTTAACGATAATGAATAATCATTATCATAATAATGAGTGGAGGAGTACAACAAGCACGATTATCGCCTGCCTCTCATGTCACTTAAGGGTAGTGTCAGCATTTGTCAAGCAATTAATTAATTGTTTGTTGGTAAGTTTGGTTGATTTTTTAATGCAGCCATACAGTAACTTTTTATTAATCGTAAATGCAAAAGTTGAGAAATGTGTATTGTTACTGTTATTAGGATAAAAATTATGAATGCATTCTACAGATCACTTGATCGAAGTATATTTATGTTAAGCAATCACTAGTTAACCTAAAGTTCTAGTGAGGTGATGCTATTTAGAACATGAGCCAATCAAAAATCAAAATTTGGGTATGATACCCAATCATAATTTGGATATGATCATTCACAACTAGAGTCAGCCATTAGTATGTACGGGCAAACCTTATAGTATAAAGCGTACATGAAAGAAACTATATGAGATGTCAGGGGCCTCGAATTTTTGGGTATTGTACAATTTTATACGTATAGGGTGTTGTATAAAAAACAATGTATTCGTCGGTTGGTAAACATGTTACATAACGCACATTATGACATAGGTTCAAAACTTACTTATTGCACTATTCATTCTAGCAAATGTCTTTGTATACTCATTTATTTTATTAAATTTGATTAAAAATATTAATTAAGTCCATCTACTTTAATATTATGATCTTTTAAGTTCTTAAGTTGTGTCAATTTAGCTTCCATTACATGAATACACATTTATTTCATTTAAATTTAATAAAATATAGGCTTACTCCTTCCACCTCAATATTGTAATTGATTTAGTTCTTATACTTCAAGTGTATCCATTTACTTCCCATTACATCAAATTTTATGTTTTCTAAAGACGCTTTTGGAATGACTAATTGTAGTTTTGGTCTTTTAACATATGACGAGTATATTTAACTCTTATATTTGTGGCTTTTGAGACACTTTCGAATTGGATGGTTCAGATATATAATTTTAAAATCGTTTAAAAATATTTTTTTTTTGCCACTGAGCCTCCATAATTGATTAAATGATCCCAATGACACCTTAACCTATATTGATTAAACCCTAAGTTATAATTTTATAAATTATAAAATCAATCGATAGAAAAAATAACCGAGAATTATGATTCGTCAAAATACGTACAATAACAAGACATTAGGAGCATGGTATACACATGAGTCACTAACATTTCCCATCCGTATAATTATACTTATTTGTCTATGTGGTTATGTAAGTAAATAACTAAATATATACTAGAATGATTATATTTTTCATCATCGTGAATGTTATTTGTGCTTTACATGTTACTCACGGACCTGCAGGGGAAGCAGAAGTCGATCACGAGATTCGAATTAGAGACCTTCATATTGTTTTTTTCCACTTAATTGCATCTATCTCCAAAATAACACATTGATAAGTGAGTTGAGCGAAAAATAAAAGTACCAGGTATAGACAAATAGTATGCATGTTATCCAGGTGTTGTAATTTAGTCTGTAACGCCGCATGCAAAATATACCATTTGTACATCATTCACATCATGTCAACGCAACTGCTAATGCATTCTCCCTCCCTTCTCTATTAATCAATCACAACAATAACAACGTGGCTTGAATGCAAACATACTTAAAAGCAATATTGTTAGACCATAATTTGTTGAGTGGTTTGGGATATTCACTCGGTTAATCGTCCAAATCGATTCCCGCGACTCTCGGAAGTCGGTCGAAATTTACACTTTGTGTCGACCTAAAGGTCAGTTTTCAATTTCACCTGTCCAAGTAAATCACCCGATTCAATCCGATCAGCATTGCTTCTTTGATTATAAACGCTATTGAAAACTTCCAACTCGTTTTGATCCAATGGAAAATATTAGCTTATTGTTTTTCTTATATAAATATATGAAGTCAATCTTATGAAATCCAACTAAAGATCTATAAAAATGATGGTACATTTTGTAGGGGGGGTATAGGATGAATAGCTTGTGTGTGTCTTTATAGGTGGTGTTTTAGGGCTAAACATGATAGGAAAACAATGATGAGATAAAAGATATGATTATTTTGCCAATTTGGAGGAAGAGAAGAGGAGAGGAGTGAAACGAAGAAAGAAAGAAAGAGCAATAATGTGACGGTGGGGGCCCAAAATATGGCAGGGCGTGGGAGAGGGATGAACATGACGTTGTCGGTTGTTTTTTATTCATTTTAACATTTTTCATCATCTTTTTTTTTTTTTTTAACTTGCAGAGAAAAGGAAACCAAATTAAATAATAAATAAAAAAACAGTACTCTCTATCTCCTCTAATCTGCACTTCAGTCTTCCCCTCCTCTTTCCCCTTTCTTGCATCCCTCCATTTCCCTCTCCTCCAGTTCTCTCACTTTCTCTCTCTACCTCTTTTCAGTGATAGTTTCTTTCTTTTGTTATTTTGGGCCTTCCCCCCATCTCTCTCTCTCTCTCTCATTTCTTTCCATTTCTTTTCGAAATTTTTTTTAAGGCAGGCAGCTCCCTAGCTCATATACAAGGATTGTGTGTGGCTTCATCACAAGCAACCAAGCTGTCCCTTGTTGGAACCGCTGAGGCAGCTTTGCAGCGAGAACCCAAAAACAAACCCAGTCCTTTCTCCTCCTCCCCAACCAAAATTAGAACTCTCCCCCCTCATCGTCAACAAAAAGATACCCAGAAAGAAAAAAAGCTCCTTTTTCCATCCCTCTTTCCCCCCCTTTGTTCTTCCGTCCTCGCTAAAGATCGATCTGCTTCTCCTGCTGGTTGTGGTGGTGGTAGTCATGATGATTATGGTGTTGGGAAGGCTGATCTGAGCAAGCTTTGAACCCAGTCAATCCAGCTGGTGTGTTCCTTTCTTTCTTTCTCTTCTGTGGTTTTCACTCATTGCCCTTTTCCTCTCTCTCTCTCTCTTCCCTTCAGCCATGGGTTTCTGGGGTTTTCTTTTCTCTGTTTCTCTTCCAGTCTGATTCAGAGACTCAGACAAGCTGAAATCCCATCACTCTCTCTCTCTCTTTTCTTCTCTGATCTCATTATATGGCTTTCTGGGCAGGCACAAAGTCTCAAGCGATTTTATTGCTACCCCCTACTCTACTAGACTAGCCTTGCTGCTTGGTTGGTTGGTACAAGTCTACAAGAGCTTCTTTATTAGAGTTTGTTTGGTGTTTTTTTGAGGAGAGAAATTTTGGGGGAAGGGGAAAATGGAAGTGAGAGGGCAGCAGCAAGTTGAGAACAACGATGTAAGAATGTCGACTGAAGGCGGTGGAGGAGGAGGCGGAAGAAGAGGGGATGGGAATCACAATGGCAACTCATCATCCGCTTTCCTCACCTTCTCCCAAACCCTAGATCACCACCACCACCACCACCGCGGCGGATCCAACAACTCCGCCGCCAAAGGCAACTCGGCGGCCGCGCCGCCGTCGGTGGTGAGGTACCGGGAGTGTCTCCGCAACCACGCGGCCAGCGTGGGCGGGAACGTCTACGACGGGTGCGGCGAGTTCATGCCCGGAGGCGAGGAAGGGTCCCTGGAAGCCTTGAAATGCGCCGCCTGCGAGTGCCACCGCAACTTCCACCGCAAGGAGATCGACGGCGAGACCGCCAGCCCCACCGTGTTCGGCTCTCGCCGCCGCGGAGGCGGCGGTGGGCATTTGGTCCACGCGCTCCAGCTGCCTCCACCGGCGGCGGCAGCATTGCCTTCTCCTGTGATGCACCACCACCACCACAATCCGCACAACAATAGCCCTCACCACTTCCCCGGCGGCTCGCACCATTTCTACCTCCAGTCGGCCAGCCCTCCAGCCGCCGTCCAGCCAATCAACGTGGCGTTCGACGGCGGCTGGGGGAGCGGCGGAGGAGGAGGAGGCAGTGCCGCCACTGGCGCCACCGAATCCTCCAGCGAGGATCTGAATGCCTTCCCCTCTGAAGCAGCGGGGATGGTGGGCGCCACCACCACACCTCAGCCGCCCTACGGGCATTCTTCTTCGAAGAAGAGGTTCAGGACCAAGTTCACTCAGGATCAGAAGGAGAGGATGATGGAGTTCGCGGAGAAAGTCGGGTGGAGGATCAACAAGCAGGACGTGGAGGCAGTGGAGAGGTTCTGCTCCGAAGTTGGGGTGAGGAGGCAGGTGTTCAAAGTTTGGATGCACAACAACAAGACCGTGAGGAAGCAGCAGCAGCAGCAGCAACAGCCCTCGCCGACGACAACGACGACGAATCACATGATGAACTTGAACATGCATCACCTTCATCATCATCATCCGGGGCAGCACGACGAGGAACAGGTCCAGCAGCAGCATCAGGAGGGAATGCTGTGATGTCTGTATGTACAAGTGAAGTTGGAGTGGGCTGCTAGGGGAAGTAGGGTACGAGGTTGTAGAGGTAGAGAGAGAGAGAGAGAGCAATGTGGTACGTAGCAATGGAGAAGATATAAAAGCAAGAAGAAGGAAACTAGGTAGGCAGTACTTGGAGCCATTAAATGTTTCTAGGAGTGGGAGTAAAGAGGGAATGTAGGGTTTTCAAATGTGTGTCAAGAAGAGGAGGAAGATGATGATTTTGTGTAATGCTTTTCAATTTAGTTAACTGGGTTTCCATTACATTTGTCATTATAGCTGAATCTTAGTATTCATCTTCTTCTGATTGTTGATAACTTGCCTGTACTGTACTGCACCATGAGATTACAAGTCCTTACTTGCAGATGATGGATTCAAGTTCTTCATTAGTTTGCAGATGGGTGAATGGGATGGGAATATCTGCAAAGCTGGAATGGGCCACATATGGAGATGAAATGAAAGGAAGAAGATGGTTGTGTTTTTGGTTGTTTGTTTGTGGTGTGTGTGTGGAGTTGAGGTGAAGGTCTTGTCTTGGCTGAGGTGGCAGATGGGCTCCATGGTTGTTTGGGTTACAGGAAGGAGGGGCCCCTGTTCTTGCTCTCTATACTTCCTTCCTTCCATTAAAGAGAAAAAAGGAAGAAAAAAAGGGCTTACCTTTCCTTTTCTTTTATCCTTTTGTTTGTTTGTTTGTGATGCGGTGTTAGGAGTACTATAATTATATTTTGTCATCGGAATTGAATGCTACCAGAAAAGGGTGGGCCCCGCAGAGGACTAGTGATGACGAAGTTTTTATGTGTAAAAATTTACTGTTCTTGGGATTAGCAAGAGAAGGAGAGGGGTCTTGGTATCAGTTACAACTGATCTGAAACAGAAATTTTGGGCAGCCAGTCGTTCAATTTGGGCCGTTGAATTGGGAGGAGTGAGCAGCCCATTATGATTATGGGTTTCCGATCCAACAAAAATTTGGGGGTTAACATCCCTATGAGATGAGGGAGGAGAAGACATTTTCCAAAAGTTTTGCTTTTTTTAATGATTTTATGAGATTATGTGGGGGATTTTGATTTGATTCTGGTGATACTAAGATTAGACTAGTGATGTCAAGGTTAGGGGGGGAGGTGGTCAACAATAAGGGCTAAGGGATTTGCTCGACAATCATCCTTTTGCTTTTTTTTTTGTTTTTTGTTTTTGGCTTGTCTAGAGGCATGTAGTCATAAGTATTGTGAAATCGTACGAGAAATTATAATGAAAAGTTGATTTATAAGATAATTTGTACTTAAATTATGATGTTACCGTTTTATGTTCTTAAAATCGTTTACCATTTGAGGTCCAGTATTTTTCAATCTAATCGCACGGTAAAGTACGATTGCTAAAACATTGTTTGATACCGTGGCCAGGGGACTAGCTCGCAGAGATGTGAAAGAGTACAACATCACATGAGTACATATAAGTATAACGTGGTCAAGGGAGTTTATAATCACTCAATTCACTCGTTCGATGTGTTGTGTTAGAAGAGAAGCTAATCTGAGGGTTCAAAATACAAGAGGGGTACTTTGAAAAAAAAAATTACATTACATTTGGATGACTAAAACTTATCTTAAGAATAGATGACCCACATTGTCTTATGTGAGCAAGCATCACTTGATTCGATTTTGGTAATGAGTTGTAAGGGAAAATATATAATTTAGGTTGAAAATAATGAAGTTTTTTTCATAAAACAATTCAGACCCACTTGTTAAAGCTCATGAGCTTGATTTTGCTCCAATCTTCGTTCTTTGTATGGAATGAATGCAATGTAGGAATCAAGGACTTACACATTCATTGCTTTCCGGCCATGAAACTAGTTGCATAACCTGTGTACCTCTGAGCACTTTGCGGTTGGACTTGTTATGTTGCACGTGATCAACCTTTATATCGACAATTGCATCGCGACTGTAATTTGCTCCATAATCTTGTTCAAGATACCTATCTTCACTCCTGAATATTCAGAAATTTGATATCTCACATGTAAACGTCCTTTTTCTCCGATTATGTTCAATTTCATAAGCACGTATTTTGCGCCTTCAACAAGTTTCAATACGGTTGCAATACAAGTCATGTCATCTCCATTATGGCAATGCATAGAATTCAACACCAGCAACTTCAATAGATTGCCTCTTCCAGTTCCATGCTTTTGTTAGCACTTCCCATTTTTCTTTTGTTGTTTTTCCTTCGTTACTTTTTAGCGTATAAGGTTCTTTCTTTTTCTTACTTATTATCTACTCCAGATTACTTACACAAGGAATAAAGGAAAACAGAGGGGTGGAAAGAAAAAGTGAAGGGAACAAAAGAATCCAAACGAAACCCATACGTTATATTTACTGGATCTCTGCGGCCTGATAGCTATTGATTCAGGCACGGGTTCTGGCCTCCCTAATTTGTCCTCTTTCTTCTCATTCTTAACACTCGAGTCGAAACTCGAAAACACTTTTCTTCTCTAGGATACGGTAGATCTAATCATTATCACGTTCCTGAATATGTAACATTCACTCCTATCAAAAAATATGTAACATTCACCACATATTTGGATTTCCAGATCCATAATCATCTTATCAGAACAGAAAAAAGATAACTCAAATGAATCACAACGAATATAATAGGTTGTCAATCCGGTTTAACCTGTTGGTTCGTCTGAGTAAATGGGTTGAGAGTTAATAATTCGATCGTTTTAGTCCGATTTAAACCAGATATGTGAAAAAAAAATTGTATTATTCATGAATATATAAATTATATCAAATTTCATCTAACATTTGAGTAATAACATGTAACACTACATCAAGATAATAGGTCGTATTTGGATACAATATATAGTGAAAATTCATGCACACTTATATAACATCAATATTCAAATGTTCAACTTAGAATTCGAACGATATGGTTAGATGAAGAAGAAGATCGAAAAAGAGGCTCACTTCACAAATTAAAGGTAAAAGCGACATCGTGTGACCTCCAATCTAGTAACCTTGCAGCGGGTCGATCGGCAGGTGGGTGTGGTAAATTTTTCTTACTGGGTCAGGGTCAAAATGGATCTACCGACAGGTCGACCCGTTGGTTGACATCCACTCAACATATATAACCTTAGAATCTATCATCTATCATTTTCATTGAATTTTTTCTTATGTTTTTTAAGCATATATCATGATATTGGCAATTCCATGAATTAAAATCGTCAATTGTTTTTTTTAATTAAACTGATCTTATAATTTGATTTTAGATAATTATGGTATAAAGTTTACCAATTAGAGTTTACGTTATAATAGCAAGTCCCAAATTCCCAACTAATTCAAGATGTAAATAGCGAAACTTACGGGGCGTATAATAAGATTAGACTGAACCTATGTCTATATATATAAAAAGCATGTATACTAAATGTTAATGTCCTATTTGTATTTTAAAATGACACAATTAAATTTTAATGGACTAGCTCTAATGACGATTGGAAATGATCTCGTTGAAAATAACGCAAAATGGATAACTAATAGATAATTATGCTTTAAATAATGGTGAAAACATGTCACTTTTTAAATAACGTTGTATGATTGTTTATTATTTTATTATTCTTACAAAGATTGGACCACATCTCAAGTTCGGAACATAATCTCCACAATTCATTGAACGACCTAACATATCTTCATATCAAACTATCATGAACTTTTTTTTTTGTTACAGAAAACTATCATAAAACTTATGTAGACCAAACAATGATTTTAATATTATAAGAGTTCTCAAAACCCTACCTACAAACACACACAAAAGTTCTTCAAACATATGAATTCTACGTGCTCACTAAACGAACACTTCAATCATTCTCTGTTTGATCACATACGTTCTTTTTTATTATTGGGGATGCCGGAATATGAGTTTTTGTTGATTCATACAAATTGATTCATATGTATGATTTGTTAGAGAATATGAATCTTTTATTGATTCATTCCTTAGATTAGTTTATCTCTAAGCATATATATTCAACAAACCGGAGCTATCAAGGCACAAAATATATAACGTAAAGGGCATATGTATGTAGACCAATGCAATCCATAATTACAACAAAAGTTAATTTTCGAATTCAAGCTACAAATGAAAACCATATCCATACTCCACACGATTCAATGGCTTTTTTGTTTCGTTGCGTAACAATTGGTTGATGATTCCGACGGCGAAACTAAATTTTACATCGTCCTTATATATATTTTCGACCGTGTATCATCTCATCTCTATGCCGACGGCGCGGGGGCCGGTGCTTCATGATCTTCCGCGGAAGGCGACAAAGATATGGACGATGATGATCCCATTGCCGATACTGGTACTCCTTCCGGCGAGCCTGCCGGTGCCCCGAACGGCGAGCCTGCCGGTGCCCCCGCCGGCGCGTAGCCCATGCCGCTGAGGAGAAGAAATAAAATTGTAAGTAACATTGAGTGCAAATGAAAATATTTGAATTCCGAGACATTCAAATCGAAAATGAACGATTTAACCGCTAAATCAACCATTGTTCTAAAAAAAACAAAATCACAATTGCGAATTTAAAATCCAACCCACCAATTCAATTCATCCACTTAAATATCGTACTAATTCAATCCATTCATCCAAATTTCATTAGATTAGTGGATTCATGGATCGATAAAAAATTGCAGTTTAATACCTATATTTTTTATACTTCATATTTTTTGTCCAATAGAAAATAATATTTTGATACCTAAACCATTTTATTATGACATTTTAGTAGCTAAACTTTTCAAAATTTACATATCTATCAGTGGCTTGGATGTTTTTTGGATTCATGAATCAATTTATCAATTCATAAATCCTCAAATCTAATTGATGGATGAATCTACCAATCCAATTCACCAATCCATGAATCTAATCCATTCGCCAACTCTACAGTAGAACAATGCAGAATCAAACTACAGACCTTCGGTTTACAAAACATTTTTTTTTAAAATGAAAACGGAACAAGAAGTTAATTAGGGAGGAGATAATTTTTGTCAGAAATTTCTTACCTCATTTTACCCTTGAGCCAACTCTTCCACGATGCTCCGTCTTTCTCCTCCTCCGCGTCCTTATAAGCCTGAGCCAACTCGGGAGAAGACGCCGCGCTGTCTCCGCCGGCGAATTGCGCGACGGCTCCCTTCACGTCCGGGGAAGCAGCGGACATGGCCTTCTTGGCGTCGTCGAGGTTGCCGCTGGAGAAGAGCGACGACAGCGACTCCGTGTTGATCTCGTCCAAGAAGCCGTCGCCGGCGACGGTGCCGACGTTGGATAGAAGGAGGAAGAGCACCGGGATGGAAAGGAGGAGCATGCGACATGTCGTCTCTGCCATTGTCGCCATTATTTTTTTTATATTTTATTCTGTTTTATTTTTTATTTTAATTGGTGTCTTCTTTTGTTCTTTCTGGTGTTCTTATAGATAATTTTTCGCTATTTTTTTTTATACTGGTTTTGATGGTGTTGAGTGTTTTTCTCCTGTTTTCCTAAAACAAGGTTGATGGCGTTGAGTGGTTAGTTATTGAACGGTAATTTGCTGGTAATTAATCAATTTGCCAAACTTTGTTTTTTGTGGTTTAGATTTTATGTTACAGTTGACTCGGGTAGAGATATGAGTACCAATTGCACGTAGATGAAGTTGAATAGCGCTTCATATTCAGGAATTTTAATGATGTAAAACATATGAAATGGCAAGATTGGAATTTTTCGTGTTTTTTGTTCTTCATGTTTTTAGTTGCGGAAGAATTTAATTTGATAAGTTAAAGATCAATAATTTATACTTTGAGTGATCACACATAGCAAGAGAATGAAATATTTTCATAAGCCATAATCATCTTTACAATGTATAAAAAGTAAACAAAATTTTTTATGCAAAAATACTCTAACCCAACATGGATTTATGAAACAACAATCCACTTCAAAATACTATTGAATTATATGTTCTCAATCTTTTATTTTTCCCAAATGGACAATGTAACATCTTGAACTTTTTTCTGATAAGATATTGTCCGTTTTGGGTGTAGAACCTCACGAATTTCTACTTGAGGGTGCATATCTGGAGGTGTCGATGCACATGCACAACGACCCTTCCTTCTACTCCATAAGGTGACTTCGAATGCCGCATATAGCTTGCGCCCAACAAGTTTTTGAGCTGGTTCCACAACTCCTCTAGCTCTGATGGGGCCATGCGGTATGGTGCTCGCGAGAGGGGCTTGGCTTCCAACTCCAACTCGATCTTGTAGTCCACCTCTTTTCTTGGTGGCAGCTTTTTGGGCTACTCCTTTGGCATCACGTCATCGAATTCTTCGAGAACGCCGTCGATGATGGGAGTTGTGGTTCCCATTGAGCTTCCTTCTTCCTCCATCTTCAAGGAAACAAGAAATGTTGGCTCCTTCTTTTTGAACCCCTTCAAATCCTTCATAGTGGACAAAGCACTATAGGGTCCATCCTCCCTTAAGAGATGGACTGCGTGAAACTTCTCTACCTTCTCCAAGCACATCATGTTGGAGTTGGGCTTCAAGAGCATTACCTTCTTGTCGAGGAAGCTAAGTTAATGTCGAGGATGACTGGGTGTTCATCCATAACGACGAAGAAGTCGATGATGCCTTCCCATTCGCCAAGCTTCATTGGCACATTGTGAGAAATTCCATGAATTGGGATGGAATCCGAATTGATCGTCTTGAGCCACCCTTGCCCCTTCTCGTAGGCAATACCCAACCGGTTTGCCTCCTTGATACGAAGGAAGTTGTCCGTGACTCCTGTATCTAGGGGTGAACAAAACAACCCACAAACCGACCCATCCGTCCAATCCGACCTAACCTACCCGTATTTATTGTCAAAGTTGAAGTTTAAGGTTGGGTGAGGGTTTTCTTCTGTACAACCAACCTATATTGGGTAAGGCAACCCGTAAAACCAACCCGTGTTGAACTATTTTCATAAGTGTTCGTATACAACACATATTTGTGTCATAAATAAATATATTTGTGAGAAAATTAAACTATCTTATCATATATTTCTCTTGTGGTTTTTATAGTCGAATACATTCTTCAACTTAATATTTAGACGTATATTTAATTTAAGCTATGATTCACGTATCTTTTTTTCTTGTGTGTACAATTTTAGAAGAACAACATATTATGAATGTGTTAGCTTATAACTACTTTGGCTTACTTTGACAAATATTTATGAAAAAACTGGATATATGTTAAAGTAAATTGCATTTCATTAAAATCCAAACAATATTTATGCATATTAAAACTTTTTGCCTTGATTTATTTGTTTAAAATCTTAAGTAGTTATATAATATTTTCGTAGTGTATAATAGTTGCCTTTTTTGTGTAGAGTTGGATATTTAATTAAAAGTATCTCCAACCCGACCCAACCCAATTATAAATAAACCGTAGAATTTTAATTTTTTTTTGGGTTGGGTTGGATTTAACATTTTCAAAATCGTAATATATGGGTTGGGTGATTAAAATGACCAAACCCGAACCACCCGACCCATGTACAACCCTACCTGTATCCACCAAGGATTTTGACTCTCCTTGCATGAATTTGGCCAGAATGTAGCACCTCCCACGCTTGCTCTCCTTAGCGTCGATCTTCACCGCCCCAAGCTTACGTATAAAGCCAATCTTGGCTTCCGCTGCCTTGGGACTCTACATCTTGAGCCTCCATGGCTGTCAATCTCAACTTCCTTGTGCAATCTCGCACTCGATGTGGTCCATCACAAAGGAAATAAAAAATGGATTTTGGTTCGTACTTATCCCCCCTTTTCTTGGGCCACCATGTTGTTGAGTGTGAGTGCCCTCCTTGAAAGGTTGTCGTTGTTCTTCGCCCTTAGCCTTCAAACTCTTCTCCTTGTTATCTTGCTTTTGTACTCAACAAAGGACTCCACCGCGGCCATGACACTTGCATGGTCTTGCACTCCTCGCCTTTTCATCTCCATCTTGGCCCACGGTTGCACCCCATCAAGAAATTCGTGCATGGCCTTTGTTCGTGATGTCGGTGATCTCTACAAGTAGCTCCGAGAATTCCTTCACGTATTCTTTAACTCCATCCCTCTGGGTGAGCCTCCTCAACCCCAAAGGGGTTTCGAACTCCACGTCTCCGGATAAAACTGTTTCTTGATTTCTCTGTCGAAATCATCCCATGTTGCCATCACGCATATACCCTTCTCGACGCCCGCTTCACGTCGCCTCCCCCAAACCGTTGCAATATCAATAAAGTAAAGTGGAGTGGTACGGAGTTTTACCTCATCCTCTTAGATGTCGGATGCCTTGAAGTACTGCTTAAGACTCCAAAGGAAGTTCTCTAACTCCCTCGCGTTTCTTGAACCTCCACAGTTCTTCGATCTTGGAACGTCATCTCTTGGGACGGATTGCACCATTGTTGGTTCGTTAGAGAGACCTCACTCTTGAGATTTGCAATCTCCTCCTTCATGACGGCCAACTCAGCTTGAACCGTCACTTTCACCACTTTGATGGCTTTGTTCATAGTGTTAGAGATGGTATTGTTGATGAGGGCCACGAGCTCTTCTCGAAGCCCATCATTCCCGATCTCCAAGCTCGTCAATCAAGCCCCCAAGCCTTGAATATCGCATTGAGTTTGGTTGACGTGACCTTCCAAATCCTCTATGGCGGTGACATCTTCAGCCACCTTCACCTCCACTATAGAGAATCGCTTCTCTATAGCCGTCAAAGGATCGCGAGTGTTGGACTTGTCGGTTTTGGCCTCGAGCTTTTCGTGGGCTTTTTCACATGTTGTTTGTTGTCGCCAATATCGACTTTTGATCCCGACATTTTGGTGAGGCTCTTCCTTTTAGTTTGGCTTTGCTTCTTCTTTTCTAGCACCAAGTCAAACTAGACTCTGATACCACTTGTCACGGCCTTACTATTGGTCGTGCGGCCTTATCTTTCAATTCCGTTAGAGAACTAAGCAACCTTGTCTCAAACTCATGTGCTCACAAAGAAAGACAAAGGAAAGGCAAAGGTAGTGTATAACTGTATATTACTAAAAATTGTGGAATGATTACAAATTAGTGAGATGGCTACTTATATAGGCCTCTCCACATACAAGACATCAATGCCCCTCATAATGGCCCCTCCCCATTACTTCACCCATTAAGTTCCCCCATAATACACTATCTTAATGCCATCCATTATGTGGCTCATAAGTGCAGACAATAAAGCTCATTAAGGTGAAGAATCCTAGAGGCATCTTTATACTTCTAGTCTTCCATACACGCCACATGTATAGAGCGTCATGTCGTTGCTATGTTGGTGCTATGTGATCTCCCACATGTGACACTTTTCATAGGTCAGACATCCTTGTAGTGCTCTACACTGAACACATTTAACTTCGGTACGAGATTGAATTGAAACCCCAAACATGGCACTGCCTGTGCAAACCTAAGTAGTAAGAACCACATTTGAGGAATATCCAAAGCTATTGTGGTAAGTCTGCTGCACTTTTCACTTGGATGGATCCGTTTCAATCTTCTCTTGAAATGTCAGTTTACGTAGCATATTTTCGGTCCACACTTGGTTTCTCATCTTTGTTCTTATTTAGGCGGCCCAACTTGGTTCTCGTAGTGCCTCCATTTGGAACTCATGCATTCCTGCATTTTACAGGTGAGAGCGTGGATGGATTTCATGATGAAGTGCTTGTTGCTCATACGGTATTGGAGGGTTCGGAAGGATGGTGTAGGAACTCGAAAAATCTTCCAAGATTCTAGGCCATTGATTACGATGTGAATAGGTCTAACCATAGTTTGCAGTAATATGCAACCTGTGAATATTGAGATGGATGGAGCCTCTAAGATTTGGAGAATTTTGATGTATAGGTCAGGACAGGGCACTCTGCATCTCTTTTGTTTGTATTAGCGCGGGAAGTAAGATATTTTGAAGTAAAACCGCGCGAGTATTTGAACAAACATGGGCCATTTTGATTGGGCCACAATGAGAATCGTGAAGTAGACGTTGGCCCGTGTAAAGCTTCCCATCGACATCGAGTCGACAGAGCTGCTGACAATCTTTGTTAGGAAATTGCTGTAGTAAATAGTTCATGTTCATGCACTACAAAAAATTAGCCATATGCCAAGGGTTCTGTAACAAGGGATCAATAAACCCTGCTATCTTTTTTTTAACTCACCCTTGCAAAGGTTTGTTGCAAGGGTTCAAGAACCCATGCTACATGTATTAATAATTGTTTATATGAAAATCCTCTCCTTGTCTTGTTCCAAAATCTGAAAACACTCTCCTTTCTTCTACTTTTCATAGCTTCTCCTTCCCGGCCCGATTTCCAGGCGCCGTATCAACACCATCATCCGACTACCGTCGTCCATGTCACTTCCCTCAAATGACTCCTCTTTCTGCTCGTTTTTTGAAATGAAATCCATGTTCCTATGCGGCTGAGAGAATAGCTGGTGCGTCTAAGTTCAATCACGGAATTCCATTACGAGGAGATGGAGTAAGAGAGCTTCCATTAACATCAATTCATCACCATTACCGTCATCGCTCCAGGAGAATCGGTGGGCGATTCTACGATTCTATAAGGTTATCTCTCGCTCTCACTGTCCTTCTCGCGTCCGAGCATGAACTCTCTCTGGAATGAAGAACTAATTGTTAAATAGAAACCCTAGATTTATACATACTGATGATGAATGTTTATTCAAATAGTTTGGGTGGGTAATCCATGAGGTTTCCTTTCGCGTTTGCTTCTGCCGTTTATCTGTAATGATCATGCTTATGCTTTTACTTTTGGGAAGATTTATTATTCATCTTCTTCTGTTGATCAAAACTCTTCCAGGGAGGTAAAGGGGCATAATACCTAATGATTCCAGAGCTTGCTGACTTCAGATCTTATGTAGGTTGCTAGTGATTTGGCTTTCCATTTTTAATTCATTGGTATAATTATATACTTGGTTTTATCCCTGAATTTGATTTAACAATATGGAACTTACTAATGTTATCTTATGTAGGTTGCTACTGAGGAATCAAAGACTCTTACAAAAGCTTCTTCCATAGAAGGTAAGACTCTTATTTGGATATAGGTAAGCTTATGTAGGATGCTAATGATTTGATTTCGTAAGAAATGTCATGTAAGGGCTGGTAATGTTATCCCAAATTCCGATTTCTGTTTGATTAGGTGATGTAGTGAGTTTACAGAATGTAATTTCTTTGTTCAATGTTGATAGTTCTTCTACTTTGTCCATGGTTCAGGAGACTTGCTTTAGCCTTTGAGGTAAGGGAACTTGAAAAGGTGGTAGTGATACTACTACAACTATTATGTTTTGATAATTTTTCCTAGATTGGCCATTTTGCTTACACTCATTATCATTAAACTGTTTACAGGAAAATCCATGCCAGGCTGTTATACCCTTGCAGCTATCAGAGGATTTGCAGGTCAGAGTCATATGCTTAGTTTCATTAAGGCTTTATGTGAGTGATGCTGTTAGGGGGTTTAGTGCTCTTAATGGCACTTATCTTAATGGTCGAGGGCTAAATCTCATGAGTATACTATGTTTTCATTTTGCTAGTGATCTTCTATTCTATAGATGGCTAGGTCCCAGTTTATGCTTAAATTACACGTGGTGTTATTCTTAAACCTTGAATCAAATGTTTTAAAACCACCATATAAAAGCTCAGAACATATTTGCACTTCTTTGAAGTCGTTTGATTAAGGTCTACATGTCATACTTATCAAGTTTACAGTTAAGGTTGTTTTGCTTGAGCTTGCCTTGTCAATGGCAGCTTGAGGGGAACATACCAACTAACAACAAGAAAAGAACTTATGGGGAGATCTAAGCAACAAAACAACTCACCTGTTTTCTATTTCCATTTTCTCTTGTGGGGAAGCAATCTTAGAAAGAAAAAGCTACTGACTTTCAGAAACACCATGGCGGCGTGTGCTAACGACGGTTGGCGTTTTGGGTACTTTCCTGCTTCAGGCCCATTGAGTTGGCACTTCTCAGCCCCTTGAATTGTTCTCCCTACCTTTGTCTTCTTCTCCTTCTTTCCTCGGTAAATCCTCTCCCCTATCTCTCTGCCATGCTTTTTTTCTACTCTGTTTTTTCAACTCACATATCTCTGTCTATGGTCACGGAACTGGGTGCTGACGGTCTCTACTGCCAAATCTTATTTTTCAAATTTGTTTACGCTTTGGCTAATGGCTTCAGGTTCCGTTTCTACTATGTTAGTTGCTTTGCCTGCAATTCCAAAAGGAATCCCTAAATCCCTCCTTTCTGCCTGCAGTTCCACCAAAACTCTTATATTCGTTGATTTCAGACCATTATTGTATTTGATTATTTTCATTGACCTGCATATGTAGTGGCTTTGAGCATGGAACTGGTGACACAGCTGTAGAGCTTGTGCCAAGAAGTAGCAGCGCATCAGTGTCAGTGACTGCAGTAACTTCATCGCTGGTTGTTTCTAATCTTCAGATCCTGTACTAGTGCCATATAATGATTCAAGGCTTGCTGGTACAATGGTTACAATAAAACGTGAAGTGAGGAGCCATCGAACTCTTGCTGATACAAATGTTGCTCCTAACTCTGAGAAATCAGGTGAGAATCTTGAACCAGATTCAACTTTTAGTGATGTAATAAGCTTTACTATGACTTCTAACTGCCTTCTGCAGAATGATTATGCAGTTCCAGTAAAGATTTCGAACAAACTGCAAAGTGGGGGGAAGAGTCAGTTCAGTGAATCTTCTCAACCCACATATGCATCAGTCCATGCGGGTTCTTCTAGTAGTAGGCCATCCTCTAATTACGGCAGCAGGTCACAAGTGATTGGTACTAAAAAAGGTAATGGGCTGGAACTAGATATTCAACTTTGTCATTCCCCTTCTGTTTTTGCCCTTTTAATTTATATTCTTTTGTTCCAACTTCACAGCTAGTACTGGCAATTGTGTTATTTGCTGAAAAAGTTTTCTTATTAAAATCACATTGTTTTCTAATCCATTGTTAGTGTATTTGCTTTGACCTTATAGCATATATTGATATGGATAATTCTGCCAGCCTTTCTTTCTTACTAAATGTAACAAGGAAGACAGTGTTTCCACAAGAAGATTCCTATTCATTGTTGGTATTTGTTTCTTTCGTTTTGGCTGGCTAGTTGATGTTCTCTTTTTTTCTTTTTTTCTTTTCAATAGCTGGTTCTACCAAAGAGTGGAAACCAAAGACTACGAACTCCACAATAGCCCAGGTTTCTGGTATAGCTAGCTCGACAGAAGTTCCTAATGCACCAGTTGAAAGTGTTCTTCATCAGTTCCTCAATCACAGCCATCTTCAGGAGGTGATATGGAAGATTTAACTTCTAACTTGCAGAAGTTGGAGCTGCCTCTTCCACAGCGACATCATGTTCCCATGCCAAACCATATCCATATTCTTTAATCGGAGAGAACCAAGTTGAGCTTTGGAAGCTTTGATGCTAACTTTGTTGTAACCTCAAGTTCTACTAGTGGGCCAGAGAGTGAGAAAAGCTCCACTCCCTTGTCCGATGCAACACACAACGTTGAAGAAGCTCTGGAGGAGCCGGCAGCAAGGTGTGTTTTAATACTATGGCCATTGAGTTTGTTATTGAGTTAGATAGACTGGTGCTATCAAATATAGGTTGTATACTTCCAATTTTATACTTTTCCTGACTTGTTATACATGGCTATCAACAGTCAAGTTGCAGTAGGAAATTATTGAAGTACTTTTGTTTCTGTTTACTATTTATTTAGTGTTGAACCATTTGGAAATTCAATTTGTTCTCTCATTTGGAATGAACGAAGTAAACCCAATCTGGGTTCACATATAGTGACGGGAATGTCTGACTTTAGTGACAGTTAATTTTTCACTTTAGTAACCAGAATGCCGTCCCAAAAGATGCAAATTGGTTGTATTAGCAACGGTATATTTAGCGACGAGAATTTTACTTGCTTTGATGTTAGCGAAGTATAGTTGTGTGTCCATAATGCGTTTCAATTTTAGTGACAAATAGCAAGGGTTTCAAACCCATGGTAATGTAGCAAGGGTTCAAAATCCTTGGTACAACCCTTGCATAGGACTTTCACCAAGGGTCACCCAAAACCCTTGCTACACGTAACAAGGACAGCCTTGCCAAGGGTTTGTCCAAGGGTTGGGAAACCCTTGCTAGATCTTGTACCAGGGGTTTAAACCCTTGGTATAGATTAAAATAACCCTTGCCATAGACTTTTTTTTTTTTTTAGTGATTGGCCATTATAAGAAAACGTTATAGTTCAGAAAAATGCTATCAAGCATTAACTCATAGATTAAAGCCACGTAAGCTCTTTCTTTTTCGCCAGAATAATTCTCGAGTTCACCTATATCTCATTTGGTGGCAAAAGATAAGTTCAAATACACCTGAAGAGTTTAGGACATGACGATAAGTTCAAATTGCAAGAAGGTCAATCGACAACCTAGAGTTTGCTAATTAATTGCAAGAAGGTCAATCAACTCACAAGATGTACATAGCATGATAGCAAGTGAACCAGCCAGTATCAAAGCGAATTAATTGACAAATTAGAGTTTGCTAATTCCAATTTTTCCCCATCTCCTAATCCTTTTTTCTAATTTTCAAGAAGGTCAATGGACAACCTCTGCATATGGATTTAATGAACGGATTGATAAGAAAAGAAAACAGGTTATATGATTCAAACCATGATACTATAGTTATTAGTAAACATAGTTAGTAAATACCCCGTTTAATACACGTATATGTACTTGTACATACTTTATTCGTTTAAAACTTTCGTATTTGGATTATTGTCAAACTGTTTCATTTTTTCCGTTCATTTTATGGCTCCCGTATTAAATTATTAACTTTACTATTATTTATATATTTATTTATTATTAAAATAATTAATTTTATAGATTTATGAATATTAACGTACTATTAAACGTAACATTAGCATAGAAACGAAGTAAAATACCCGTACGTATTTTATACGTAACTTTCCCATACCGTATTTTACTAACTATGTTAGTAAACATGTTTTTCATTTGACTACAGTTCATTTGTCACTGTAATTTTAATATAAATATAAATATAAACATACGACTCTATCTCCAATTTTTTCAAAATCTAAAATTAAATCCATAGGCTATCCCTTATCTCCGTCATATTCTAACACACGATTTTATCATAAAGAGTTTGGTCACCTTTCTAATTCTTTTCCACGAGATTTGAGAACTACTATCATTTTGTTAAGAATTCTGAGTTATTATGTGGATTAAAATGAACTAATGAATTAGCTCAGTTGATGGTGAAGACAACATTAATGAATCTATCGTATCTATTTGCTCCTCAAAGTTGTATTGATTTTAACTGTTGCAACTCCAAGTATTGAGAGTGTTTTTCAACTCTGGGTTAAAAAAGTAAGTTTCAGATCCATTTGTGAATGATTGTCTAGTAGCATATACTGAAAGAGATTTGTTGAACAGTGTAGACAGTGAGTATATTTTACAATTTTCTCGAGAATATAAAACAGCGTCGTGCTTTTTCTATCATAACTTGTAATAGTCGAATATTTTTTAATTTAATTTTTAAAATATTTAATTTTTAAAATGGACACCCCTGGCCTCTCTATAAAATTTTTAGGTCCATCACATGGACTGAACAGGTTTTAACGGTTTGACATGAAATCAGGTAAATCACCCTTGTTAAATGGTCCACCGATTCACTATTTTAACAACATAAAAAATGAAAGAAGAAAAAAAGTTAACGTAAACTAAAACCATCTAACCTGAAATACTATTTTTTTTTGTTTTCCACCCTATTTACTAACTTGAATTTAATAAAATAATTTAAGATTTCTTTTATGATATAATTTAAACGATTAAACAGAACTTTTGGTGATGAATTATGTGGTTTCAGGGGCAAAACCAGGAATTGGACTTCCGGGGGCCAAAAATCAGAAAAGAAAATATGTTTTTCACTTCAGTAAAATTGCATAGGTAAATTGTTAAGTAATATATACCATTGTTTTAAATATTTTAATTGGATGGAGATGAAAAATTATTATGCGTTTTGTAGCTAATTTTCATTTATTTAAAGGTTTAAAATGAATGACTACTAATAATTAAACAAACTGAAAGAACATAAATATCAATTGAAACAGTTATTAAAATCTAGAGAGTGAGATTTAATTGGTAAAAATTGAAAATGGGTAAAGATTTTTGTAAGCATAAAATAGGAAGGTACATAAAAAAATACTGAAAACAAATGCTGAAAAGAATAAGAAATGGAAAGTAGTGAAAATAAAGTTTAAAATGAATAAATGCTATCAAAATAATTACCAATGCTTGAGCTGTTCAGGGACAGTGTGCTAGCCATTCGACTACAATATATCTCTGTATTGTTGTTGCCTACTTCGTTATGTTTATGGTTAATGATAAATTATGTCTTAAATGAGTGTATATGTCTTTTTAATTCATCGCATGAACGGTTCAATTAACGATTAACCAACAATTTTATACCGATTAACCTCTGAATCATAAATTACTAATTTTTCCCCAATTCAAACATCCAATTCGGTACTGAAAATATTAAACTCTGACATATTAAACTCTAGTTAATGTCATGTTATCAACTCTAATTAAAATTACTCATAAATTAGGAATAGTCAAGTAAATTCGGCGGCAGAGGTGGGAGAAGAGGTCTACGGAGAATGAGAGAGAGGTGGTGTAGTAGAAATGGCGGCGGCGGAGGAGAATAATAATATGTTGAGGAGGATGGCCAAGCTGAGGAAAGGGGTGGGGGCTTCCATTCTTGTGCTCACTCTCTGTATACGGGATCTTTTGGTCTCTGGACTTTACAGATGTGTTCGACGCTCTTAACGGATTAACAAAACAAGAAACATAATGCCCTGTTCACTTCCCATTTCATTTTCTGTTTTCTAGTTAAAAAATGAAAATCAGGAAACAAATGGACATAAAACGTGTTCACTTGACCATTCCATTTTCCTTGGAAAAACCCAATTATTACAAATGGGAAAACGATTAATACTCGTTTTCCGAATAGAATGGGACGGATTATTGCCCCTTTTCCCAGCGGAAATCGGCCACTCTACATTAATGAGATCGGCCGTTCGAATCACCGCGGCTCCTTTTTTTCTCATTTTTCCTCTGTTACCCTATACGGCGCCGTTTTGGAATTAATTTCATCCACCCAACCCTAACCCTAGAGAACTATGCTTCAGCCGACCTTTGAACTCCTCCCATAGCAATCGGCCGCCGACCCCTCTGAAATCGCCATCGTCTTCTCCACCCAAACCACCCACCAGCAGCCCCATCGTCTTCCTCGGCCAGCATCGCGCCGCCATCATCTGCGAGACGAAGGAGAGAACGACGCGAGAAGCACCTGGCCGCCATCATTCTCTTCTCCCTCGCCAGCCCCGCGCCGCCACCATCTGCGAGACGGAGGATTCCCCGACGCGAGAAGCACCAGCCGGCCTCCATCATTTTTCTCTCCCTCGACAGCCCCGCGCCGTCATCATCTGGGAGATGGAAGATTCCCCCAGACGAGAAGCTCCAGCCGGCGGAAATGGCAGCTGCTAGCTACTCATTTCAGCAGAACAGAGAATCCTCATCCATCGAACAGAGAAGCGCCTGGCGATTACTCCTCCGAAGCTGCTAGCGATTCCTCCTCCAGCCGCACATCGTCCTCCTCCTGCTGTCACCCATTCCAGTAGAAGCAGCACCGAAGGAGCTTTCCCCCTCCCAATTCCTCCTCCGAAGCTGCTAGTGACACGATCCAGGTACTTACTCTTCCTGTGAGTGACACGATCCATGCTTGCTTCATGATGAATTGTACTGGTTTGGTCATGTTTTGTGTTGCTGATTCTGTTATATGTTTCCTGCAGTATTTCCGGTTTTATGTGAGATTCTGTTATATGTTTCCCATGTAAGGATGATGAAGTTGCTACCGAATGGCTCAACAATGAAGCAGTTAGGGAAGCAATCAATGCTAAACCAGTATGCTGTCCTCTCTTAATGCTCAATACGCTTTAAGATGTAACATTTTTCAGTCCATTTGATCGATGTGAGTCGTGACTATTACTTGGGTGATGACAGAAAAACGTAGCTGGGGATTGGGAGCTGTGTACTGATAGAATCAAATTCCACCATGACGCTGGCAGCATGATGAAGTACCACAGGAACCTGACTTTGAAAGGCTATAGGGCACTCATTTTCAGGTAGTTTATCAGATGGCAGCTGCTGTTCAGCATCAAACTCTTAAAAAACCAGGTCGAGTTTTTCATGTTCTTCGAACAACTTCTTAACTATTATCATTCATCTTTGCGCAATGTTATCGATCGTTGTTTTGGAGTTTTGAAAGCTAGATTCCCCATTTTGAAGCATATGCCTCCTTTCACTCTCAAGAAACAAGCACACATTGTTCTTGCATGTTGTGTTATACATAACTTTATTAGGATCCACTCTGGTGATCACACTCTGTTTGAAGAATATCAGAATTATTGCACGGGAGAGAATGCCAATGGAGTGCAAGGAGGACAAGAACGAGAAGCATATAATCATAGTTCAAGCCAAACTCGAGCGATGGATGTACGACGAGATGGAATAGCAAACAAGTTGTGGGATGACTTTCAAGCTGGGCTTATTTGAATTTTTATGTTGTACTAGTACTTAATTAATATAAGATGTTGTACTTGTATTGTGTTTATTTGTAGTTTAAAAACTATTTTATTCAAATTAAAAATTATAATCATGGCTAGGGTTGTATGATAATCAAGAATCAAAAAACAGAATGAAGCAACTAAACAGGTTTTCATTTCAGAACTCAGTTTCAGAACTCACCAAAATTCTCAGCTAAACAAGGTTTTTTCAGGTTTTGTTTTCCAGGAAATGACAGCTTCGTTTTCATTTTAATTTTGTTTTCTGTTGTGGCAGCTAATAGAAATGGAATGGCAAGTAAACGGCCCATAAATTTGGTTTCTATTTTCTTATGTTATTAATCATAAACAAAACCTCTATTTATTTATAGAGTTAGACAATCAAATTCTTTTCCTTCTCACATTAGGCTTTAGCTGATTAGCTCCTCTCCTTAGGATTCCTTCATTTACATATGTTGTCAGAACCGAACCGAAGAATGACCCGGTAATGCGAACGGCTCGCACTTTAGTGGTCCAACCGACATTAGATCGTTTAAAAACCGTTCGAGAATCGGTACCTAATAAACGTTATCAGTATAAATAGTGGACATTTTTTAATCAGAGCTCGTCTCTTTCCTTCGAAATTGTGAAATGGAAATAAAGATTTAGTTTGAGAGCCCGACGCTTTTGGTTTATTTTAATTTTTAATTTTCTACAATTTTTTAAATTAAATTTAACGGGTGAATGACAAAAACCGGACGAGCGGCTCGATCGGCTCGAGCGGTTAGCCGCCTCGGCCGCTCGTCAATCGCTACATAAAACCGGAGCGGCTTTTAGACTGTTCCGAGCAGGTTTTGTGTCCGGGTGGGGGTTTTACCGGTCGAGCCGAGCGGCTCGGCTTGGCTTTAATAACAATTGCAAGAACATTAAATAATTACCTACTAATCCTATTCCAACTAGAACAAATATAACAATTAATATTAACCTTAAATAGCTCTAAATAATAACTAACACGAATAATTAAATGAAGATACGAAACACAAATAATATTCGAAATATCACAAATAATATTCGAAATATCAAGATGACTCGATCTCATAACACGTCAAGAATAGTAATGCGGTTGATGGGTACCAATTTGTAAATTTCTCATTAGATTTATAAGTAATACATTTATGAATGATTAGCTTCTGTACTCTCCAAATCTGAGTTCTTTTGCTTCAGGCGCTGTCAGTTATTTACTTTTGCATCTTGTGAACTCTATTTCTCTTCCATTTTTTTCATAAAAAAACTTAACCGAATTCCTTTTGTATCTTCCGTTTAAATTTTAAATACAGCCGTCGCAAACGTGCATGGATGAGCAACCACTTGCTCTTCAAGCAACAAGAACTGACATTGTACTAATTTAGCACAACCCCTCTGGGTGAACCAAGGATACAAACAAAAGAGAGGAATACACATGCCATTTGTTCCCTCTGGGTTTCTTTCCTCCAATCCCCAAAGCAATGGTTCTTGAAGAACACAAGAAATAAACCAACATCATGCTCTCCATTTACTTCCATAGCTTCCTCAATGACATGTTCTTCTCCGTCTCCTTCTTCATGACCTTTGCAACTGCCATCTCGAAATCTTCCTGTGTTACGTGCACCCTCCTCTCTCTAAGTGCAAACATTCCTGCCTCCGTGCACACAGCCTATACCAACACGCCAAAGCAATGAATAAGTTTATCATAGAATGTAAAAAAGCATGGATGACAAGATGCTCTTTATACCTTGAGCTCTGCACCAGACGCCCCATTCATCTTTTCTGCTATCTTCTTCAAGTCAATCCCACGCATCAGATTCATTCTCCTTGAATGGATCTTCAGGATATCCCAACGGGACTACAGGAAGTTTGTGCAATACATAGATCAGCCCACTTCAAAATTTGACAAATAGAGGTTTGGTCGGAACAAAAATATGAATAACTATACATACATCTTCATTGGGATTAGGGAACTCGATCTTTCTGTCAATACGGCCAGGCCTAAGCAGAGCTTGATCAAGAATATCAATACGATTTGTGGCCATCAAAACCTGTGAAATAACCAAGAAAAAATGACCAAGGACTTCAGCAACTGTATGTGGAACGAACGATGCAGCGTTGTTACACCCCCATACTTTTGTTTAGACTTCCGTGTTGTAGAGTAAATTAATACTATGGTACCTTGATCTTGTTTGATGCTTCAAATCCATCAAGCTGATTGAGAAGCTCCAGCATAGTTCGCTGCACCTCACTATCACCATTGCCACTTCCAGATTCCATTCGAGCTGACCCAATGCTATCAATCTCATCCATGAAGATGATGGATGGTGCATGCTCCCTACAAATATTGATATGAGAAACCACATGATGACATGAATATATAGTATCTAAAGGCAATAAGAAATTAACAAAGGAGTCATTGAGGTTAATGGAATGTGGGCTAAATTTCAGTGAGGGCTTGCCACAAACTAAAGGCAAGTGAAACAAAGGACAGATTACCCTGGTTGGCAACCATTGCATTTCAGTGATGGCTTTCCTGAACTATAAGTCTTAGAGAAGGGTTCAATGACAGCTTAACATTCGTAAACTCACACTAGCTTATATTCTCGATATTACTAATAACGGAATAAATTTGACACATGACTTGCATTATCACATGTGACGTACGCGTTCCCATAGAGAAGAAAAGTTCTCCGAAGGAATCATGATATGAAAAGAAGGGCAGATGAAATAAGAAATTGGCATACCTTGCCATAACAAAAAGTTCCCTAACCATTCTGGAGCCTTCACCAATGTACTTCTGTACTAATTCAGAGCCTGAGACCCTAATGAAAGTGCAGTCGGTATGATGGGCCACAGCCCTGGCCAACAGTGTTTTCCCAGTTCCAGGTGGCCCATACAGCAAGACACCCTATAGCAAGGAAATGCTTGATGAGACATGGTAAGGATCTTCACAACAAAATTATTCTATGATAAATTGAGAGGAAGATGCAACATCTATAACGTTAACCTTAGTACCTTTGGTTGAGCAATTCCAAGACTCTCAAACAACTCAGGATGTTTGATAGGAAGTTCAATGACCTACATGTAGCAACATAGAGAATGACGAGCAACTAATCAGCAACAGTGAGACAACACAAGCACTGACGAGAACTCAATACATTGAAATGGTACTCGACAAACCTCCTTCATCTCTTTGATTTGTTGGTCAAGGCCACCAATCATATCATAAGTTGAATCTGGAACCTTTTCAACCTTCATAAGATTGACGAGGGGGTCTACTTTGCTCGGCAAGACTAGGTGAAGAACATAGCTATCATTACGAAGAGCCACCCTAGTCGATGGAGTGATCTTGGTTATGTCAATGCTCTTGTCAATATCAACAACATACTTCCCTTCTGGATGAACCTACATAAAGGAGAGAAATTTTTTTAACCATAATCTCAGGATAGCTATGATGATGCTTTCAAGGCCCATAAAAACCGTTTTCTAGGATCACAAACTACACATACCCCATGCCACTATTCAGCAGTTAAATCTATAACACGCTATGCAAAAAAATGGAAGAGTAAGCCAAGAACAAACTGCCGACCACCAGTCCTGCTGTGCTTCTACTTCAATAAGGAAGGCCCGGTCACATGAACCAGCTTAAAAGTGTATGCAACACCTACTATGCTCGATGAAATCAGCTCAACTGAAACTCAAGAGCAGCAAACAATCTTCATTCTATTAAAAAAGGATTACCTTCACCAAAACCTTATTTTTGCCCATAACTTTGACAACTTCACCAACGTAAGACCCAGGCTCCTGAAGCAGCTGCAGCTCTTCTCTAAGCATCCTCACTGGACACAGAAAAGAAAGCAACGAACTTTACTCTCTCAGCCACAAAAAGAAATTAATCGGACTTCTCGAAAACAAATTACAATTCAACAGAGACATCCAGAAAGCTTCAACTGGAACAAGAACCCAATTGATACAGACAAGAATTCAAGCAGAAAACCCTAGACAGCAATTGAACTCCCGAAATAGCAAAAGGCTTCCAGATTGGAAAACTCACCCCTGGAATTGAGCTCATTCCGCTGAGCTTCGAGACGATTAAGATTGTGACCCTTCTGTCGGACCTGGAGCTGGAGCTCGTGGATGTGCTGCTGGTAGTATTGTTTGAGTCCTTCTCCCTGCCTAGTCGCTCCTTTCGCGGCGGAGCAAATCTGATCTCCCATCAAGGAATCCGGTTGCTTCGTCTCGACTGCAGCAGTCGCCATATTCTCGAAGAAGAAATCCAGGAACCGTTTTCCAGCGACTAACGGAGAAGCTTCGACAATCTGAGGAGAAACCTGAACGGCGAGCGCTGATTCTAGCTCAGAGATTTCCGGCGGAATAGGGACGGAGGAGAAACGAGGACCGGTCACCGTCTATTTCTAGTTTCCACGAACCACGATTTGGGGAAGTCACCGACTTTAGCTAGCCTGACTCACCGAGCAAGTCACCTTATGGGCCTACAGTACATGAAGTCCAACCCATTAAGGATTAAACCGGAGCTCGACTTAGGAGAAAAGGCAGACGGCCCAATGTTTATTGGGCTTCTTCTAGGGAGATATCCCACCTGCAATTTAGTTGGAGCTGGCGAAAGCATTCAGATTTTTGCCATCACGATATACGTTTAATCATTTAACGTGGTGTTAAAGTAGGGTGTATAATAATTTTTTTTTGAGGATGCTCGGGAGTTAAAAAAAAACTCAAATTGGTGGAAGAAGGTTAATTATTGATCTTATATCACTATCTTACACGTCCATTCAAATGAAAACCAGCTCACGGGCTTGAAATTTTCACATGTCCACTATACATTGTGAACTCTCAATATTGGGAGTCATGACAATTCAAATATATAACCATTTAATCATATCAACTCTGATAAAATGTCATAAACCAACTGGAAACAGGGACGGAGCTAGCTTGTTAGTAGGGGGGCCATGGCCTCCTAAAATTTAAAATTGAACAAAACGTGAAGGTATAATACATAAAATCCCGGCAGCGTAGTGGTTAACCAGGTGGTTTACTATCAACCTAGATAGGAAGGTCAAGTGTTCAAATGCTAGGTTTGCCATCTACTTTTTTTTTTTATTTTCTGTTTCAACTTAGAATTCACTTAATTCACTTCAAATTTAATGGGCCGAGGGAGCATTATTTAAGTTAATTTCTTTAAAAATTTATCACATTTCCATTTATCAATAGCCATGACTACTATATTTTGCGACTAGATTTATTTTAAAATTCGAAATTATAAGTATTTTTGTTTTGAATTATCAAATTGGTAAGTATATATCATATGGAAAATGCTAGGTTTGCCATCTATTTTTTTAAAATTTTCTGTTTCAACTTAGAATTCACTTAAAATTTAATGGGTAAATTTAATGGGTTGAAAGAGCATTATTTAAGTTAATTTATTTAAAAATTTACCACGTTTCCATTTATAAATATCCACGATTACTATAATTTACGACTAGATTTAAAATTCGAAATTATGAGTAATTTTATTTTGAATTATCAAATTGGTAAGTAAATATAATATGGAAAAAAATAGACCCCTAATCGAGAATCCTGACTCCCTGACTGGAAAAATTCAATTTATCAAACCTTAACCACTCTCTTACATCCTTCGCCATTTATCCCTTCTGCCTTTTTACACCAAAGCTTTTTGGTTTTATAATATAGATCTATGATGATTCCTTTCCCCCTGCCCCATCCTCGCTTGACTACATCGACGGCTTTTGGTCATGACGATTTCTCCCACGTAAGCTAACCACCGGCCCAAAACACATCCTCTAATTAGGTCGACGATTAGTTCCTCCAAAAAAGCGACGACCCACTTCATGACAACACACCACTACTCCTCCCTCCCTAATTTACACCGTTCCCATATATTTAACTAGCTTCGGGAGCTTCACAAGTTAAAAAGACCAACCACCCAATGAAAAGAAAAAAAATACACAGTGTTCTATGGAATGTGCCCTATAAATATAGCTACAATTAGCTAGTATTATCACCATATATTCGAAACCCACATCAAGAAGCAACAATGGCGGCCATAAGAAGAAGAAGCAGCAGCAGGATGATGGCAGCTCTCATTCTTTCCTTCCTACTCCTAGCCGGTGAGCTATCATAATTTAGTCTTATTATATTCCCAAAATAATCTTCATGAATTTCTGTTTACAATTAACTTCGTTCATGATTCTCTGCCTATGTACGTACGTACATTAAAGTGTAGGCATGTCGAGCTCAAGGGAAATCGTGGTCAAGGCTGGAAGTCATCATGAACATGACGATCATGACTCTACAACTGATGCTACTGCCACGCGCCACCGCCACCGCGACGTCCGGGCAAAGAAGCATGAGTGCGATAGTAACGAGGATTGCTGGGACAAAGACCCTACTAATTGTCCCCGCAATGATGCAGTGTTCTGTTCAAAGGAAGGCTTGTGCAGCTGCTACGGCCGTTGATGATCATCATCTTCTTTCTAGCCATATGTTAAGCACTATTACTTTTGTATAATAATAAAATGATGACGAAAAAACGATCATTGGGGGGTTATCGGTTATGATAGAGCTTCGTCTTTGGCTAGTTTGGTCCCGAGGTAGGTTTTGCAGAAGCAGCTTCTGATTTGGAGCTTTTAGAGAAGTGCCTTTCAGAAAAGTCAGTTGAGTGTTTGGTTGAAAAACTATTAGAAGTGCTTTTTAATATGAGAAGAAGTGTAAAGTGACTATAAAGGGCTATAAACTATGGACAAAAATTCTAAACAATAAAAAGTAGTTAAAATGGATCTTGTTAGATTTCTTTTATATTAAATAATATGATTTTAAAATTTATTTTTAGTTTTAAAATGATATAAATGAAAAAAAATTATATTTTCTGAAATAAATTAAAATATGGTAACAGATAATCTTGTATTTTCAAAACAACTTTTCGGATAAGCTCCAAATCGGAGCTTATGTTTATATGTTATACAAAAGCACTTTTCGGCTTTTCAAAAGTCGAGCTTTTAAAGGTGTTGCGCCCTGTTCTAGTTTTTGAAGTCAAAAAACACTTTTAAAATCCGAGCCAAACATATGAATAATTAAATAGGTCGTCGTCTAGCTAGAGTCTTGTGTTTCTGGCTTTGGTCTTAGGCGTTATAATTAAATAGGTTATCTTTTGTATCACTTCTCCTTTTGTTTTTCTTGTGTTACCGAAAATCAATAACCATACTACTCAAACTTGCAATAAATATATATATATATATATATCTCCCTCTTCACTACTCTATTCAAATCTAGACTTTTCACTATTTCCATAAGTAAACTGAATGGCTAAACATCGCCCTAATATTACTAATATCGCCCTAACTTAAAATATTAAAATACAAAAATATCCTTCCTTGATCGACCCATATTCAATAAAATAAATCGCCCTAAAATACTCGCCGAACTAACTTCCGCCGCCGCTTCCCCCGTCCTCCTCTATGCCATTCTTCCAGATTTGCCGACGGCGCTACCCACCCATTCGTTGTTTCTTCTCCCTGCCATCGCTATGGCCCTCTCCCTCAATGCGTGTGTATGCGACTCTGCGTTTCTCACTGCAACCTCACCGGCAGCCACCGTTCCTTTCCGTTTCCTTCCATGTGAAATCACGATTAAAGTGTTTTGTCTATTTAGACTATTTATCTAGGGAAAGCTTTAACATACTTGAGAAAGTAAGTTTTCTTAAATGAAGGCAAGACTTGACGAAGGTATAGGATATGGGAGGGACGCAGGGGTGATGGCGGTGGGAATCTGCTGATGTTTGTTAAAATATATTTTTTAATAAAATAAATAATGAAAGGATAAAAGTGTAATATTAAACTTTAAGTTAGGGCGATTAGGGCGTTGATTAGCAATTGCTATTTGCTACCAACTTAAAATTATTAAAATAAAAAATTCTAATTCAAAATTCATCTTTATGAATGTATACATCCACAACTTCACTTCCCACTCCAAGGCCACTAAACTTTTCTTTTAATGTCTTCATACATCTGTTGTCTTCTTTGTACATCATTTGATGCCAATAAATTTACGGTCGAACGGTGTAATAAGAAAATATCTTAATAATTTTTTTGAAAGCTCTAGTCAATAAATGCCACTGGTAGAAGATATTATATATGTAAGCCGACATATTATCCATTTGCACAATGAAACATGTCACTTATGGTCTATGAACGTAAATTAACATGTAACGACATGCATAGTATGATAGCAACAAACATATTATAATACATTAGCCAATAGACTAAGCTAGTGTTTAGCACCTTGACTATATGTAATTAGAGTTGGGATCAGAATATATGATTTTACGCTTGAAAATCAACAATCTCACTACTAATACAAGTCCTCCTTAGTCATAAATCAAATAGCTAGTTTTAATAAATCGAATTGTTGGAAAAAGTTATAGATCTTATACCACTCACTTACATGCATGCTCCCTCAAACGAAAGTCAGCTCACAGGCATGAAGTTTACTACCTATCCACCATGCATTGTGATTAAATCAACTATTATTATACTGCTGGAAGTTATGGCAATTCGAACAAATCACCACTTGATTATACCAACGCTAACACCATGTCATAAGCCAACCACGATCTCAACAACTCGAATTATTGGAAAAAATAATTCCATTTATATATCAATCTTAACCACTCTGTCTTACACCCTTCGCCAGTACTTCTCCTTCTGCCTTTTTACCAAAGCCTTTTGGTTTTAGAATATTAGATATGATGATTCCTTTCCCTCTCTCTGCCTCATCACGGGCTTACCACATCGACGGCGTTTGGGCATGGCGATTTCTCCAACGTAAGAGATAACGAAACGACCGGCCCAAAACACAGCCTTTAATTCGGTCGAGGATTCCGGCTGAAAGCGACGAGCCAGCACTTCATGAGAAACAACCACTGCGCCTCCTCCTCCCTCTAATTTACACCTTTTTCCATATGAAAAAAATATACATTATTGTTCCGTGGATGTGCCCTATAAATAATGTAGCTATAATTAGCTAGTCATAGCCACAAAACTCGAAACCCACATTATCAAGAAGCAACAATGGCGGCCGTTAGTAGAAGCAGCAGCAGGATGAAATCATTCCTCATCATCATTTCGTTCCTACTCCTAGCCGGTGAGCCATCTCATAATTACTCTTATATTCTCAATGTCTTTCATGAGTTGGATCTGTTAACAAACTTGCTTCGTTATGCCCATGTACGTATTCAAGTTATAGGAATCTCGAGCTCAAGGGAATTCGAAGTCAAGGCTGGAAATCATGAAGAACATGGCAATGATCATGATGACTCTACTGCTGCTACCACCGCCATGATGATGACGATAAGTAGTAGTAGTAATGATCCGCCGAGGACGACGAATGCAAAGAAGAAGCAGTGCAACAGCAACAAGGATTGCAGGGG